CCAATCGTGGCTGAAAATGTTTGTCCTAGAAAATCCATACCATTGGAACGGCATTGTCCTCTAAAGCAGTTGCCCGATGAGCGACAATCGCTGCCGCTATGTATGGCACCTGCACTACCGGAACCGCATGTTGATGAGCACCAAGTAACCCAACCAGTAAGACTCGTTGTTGAATTTTCGAATCCCGGATTATCAAGCAACTCGATCGACGAATTTAAAACGTCAACTACAGACACATTATCCAAGAAGATACACTCTTCACTAACACCATCAATTCCAAATCGAAGAACAGGCTCCGTCGTCGTTGCTACGTAACTATAAGAATAACGAGCCCACGCAACCGGATTTGAATTGATCAATGTAGCCAGAGTTCCAACAGGTGATGGAGGACATGCAGTACCTATAAAATATACTTAGATGCAAAATACTTGCAAAAAAATGTATTACTTGTCGTTGTTTTTGAAGTTGTTGTCGTCGTTCTGGAAGTAGTTGTAGTGCTGGACGATGTCGTTGTTTTCGAAGTTGTAGTCGTGGTTGGAGTTGTTGTCGTGGTCGAAGTTGTTGTCGTCGTCAAAGTCGTTTCTGTGGTCGAGCTCGTTATGGTTGTCAGTACCGCTACAAGAACATCGACAATGATATTTCATTCAGGTATGACACAAAATTTCAACAGTTTCTTTTGGAGAATATCTCATATGTGGTCAATAAAAAAAGTGATCTTTGAAGATCAATGATACCTATGCCATTGAGTAGGAGATGTGGATGTTGTGGTGAGCGAATGACAGAACCAACTCTACAACCTCAGCCTCAACATAGTCTCTTGTACATAACTAGGATCGTTGCTAGTTAATTTGTTTTTTAGTATTCAATGAATTTTCTAAATGCTGGAAGTTTTTAATGAGAAAACGATTGCATAAATAGTCATTGAAGTAAAAAACTGGTTCATCCTTCATAATGATCTTAAAGTATTACCAAACTATTGGATGAACACGCATAGCTTCGATGTTAGTGATGTAACTACGATTTCGATGTTGAGAAAACTTAGTATGATTCAAATCTGCTGTTCGGAGCTTAGCTCTTTTAGCTGACTGCGGGTTACGGCACTAATCAATGCTTAGGCTGCTCTTTTTTATTGGGACGTCGAAGTGAATGTTCACAAAATCTGCAAGTAGATATAGATGCAATAACACTATGCTTATTCAACTTACGATTGACGTTGATAAAATAATTGGGTCGATAGGCATTTGAGTGTTCAGAAAATTTACTACACAGATGCAATATCAACAAAATCTACGCAGTATTGACCGACACCAACATTTTTATAGTGTCATAAATTGGAAAACTGCCAATCAGAAATGTTAATACCTCAGTTAGATGCAAAATATTTCTTCAAACTCATTTTATTTCAATCACTCAAAAATATCCATTTTCCATGTATTTCATCACTTGCATGTACAAAAAATGAATTGTCGATATAACAAACAAGAGAGAGAGAGAGAGAGAGTTAATATCAAAGGAAACATACACGAAATTAAGTTAAATCGTTTGTATGTCGTATTCTGTACCTTATTTCCATCTTAGTTGAACAAAACAATCTGTATAAATTTAATAATTCCTTCTTATTTGATGATACTCACAATGAAATTGGAGAAAGTTTCATTACCATATTTCTACGAGACCGTCTAATAGAAGATACTTGCCTTGTCATGTATGCTACTTAGGATATGTATGCAATTACCGCGAAGAAACAATCGGCCAAATACTTTTGCAAGGAAGAAAAACAGCACATTATGATTGCATTAGCAATAGAAGCTAAAGAGTTTTGCCAATTGGACCAAAAATTTCTCTAAATATACTAGACACTATGCTGTGTGCGATGGCAAAAATGCTACTGTTCTACTTCACGTAGCTTCTAAGATATGAAGAGAACCAAAAAACATCTGTCTGATGATCAGATAATTTTTGTTAGCCACTACATATTTAAGTGGAACTTGTAAAAACATGCAACAGGTGACTAAATAGTATCATAGAGTATGATTAATTTATAGGAATTTTTATTTAATGTTAATGCAAGTGAAAAGACAGCTTCCACAAAAATAGAAAAGTGACGAAAATAACTTGGAGGACACGGCATTATGGTGAAAATCTCATTCGAAAGTGTTAAAATTCGATCTCTTCTGTTGAAAAGCCATATATATTCAGAGGGAAGAATCTTCGCTGCATCTTTTTATGGTTAAAACTTGATCTCGACTATTTTCCGAAATGATGAATCGTCTGTGTGGGAGGCGCTAAGCACTTTAAACAATTTCTCAATAAGATACATAATGATTTCTTTTTTGGATTTGATGTTGAATGTGACGAAATAACTGAGAAAAAAGATAATAGTGCAAAAGGCTCATGATTATTAAGAATGCTAAGAATTGAAATATTACTTCGTCTCTAGGAAGAGATTTGAACGTATTCTTGAAACGATTAATTTACATTAAAATCATAGAACTGTAAGTATTTTCGATAGATTTTGCAAAGTCAACCTCACGACTTTCATTAAAATAGTCAAATGCATTGATTATCAGAAATGATTCTAAAATGAAAAACCAGAGCGAAGTCAAAGAAATAATCTTATACGAAGTCAATATTCAGACGAATATTGAAAAACAAATAGTTTATGATATTGACCTAGAACATTTTAAAATGCAAATCGTATAAAAATTACGTTTGCAAAAATTCAAACAAAGTGAATCATGCATGAAGCTGTTCAAGCGAGAAAATCAAATGATCTTTGAAGAAGATAAGCACAACAAACTTATTAAAAAAATAACATCAGCAAGAAAAATTTTTATTTTGAATGACTATAAATGACTCAAATCTAAATTGACTAAACTTATCAAGATATCTACATATTTGTGATGTTCGTAATCGGATCAAAAATTAAAGGTTCTTGATTTTTAAATACTCGTCTTTTGAAACTATAATTAGCAATCAGTATGCCGATGATGATATTAGTTTCTCGTTAATTAACGTCATCGTGCATTCTATCTTTTCATTCCCCAGGGCGTACGTATTCTTCGTTAATTATTCATACATTGTACATTGTTATTCCCTTCCTTACATTTAAACTCATCTTCCATGTGGACAGATGTGTTTTGTTCTATGTAGTCATGCATCGATTTATACGATAACATCTCTCTCTTTGTTTTTTTGGATCTGACATACTCTCGCTAACAGCAACTGAGCCTATTAACGAAGCAGAATGAATTCAAATAAATCAATTTTCAAATAATAACACGTCTGGTTGTTACAGTCATGATTGTTACTTTCGCACGATGCATGGTTCTCTACAAACGTTTTTACACACTAATGAGTAAACAACACCAGTGAATGTTCAAAAAATATAATATCACAGTCATTTAGGGTACAACCTATATATTAAGCTGAGAATTAGTTGTTAGATAAAGAATTGCTAGTCTTTTGACAAAAAGAGAATAAATTGGATAAAATAGTAGAGAACGCCGTAGTCATACAGCTACATACGATTATACGACATCTTCTCATTGTAAAAAAGGAATAGTGGAAAGCATCGAATATTCATCAAGAAGGTTCTGTTCCTACCATTTACATAAAAATGTAATCTTTTCCTTGATTCTTGAAAAACTCTGACTAATCGAAATTAACGTAGAACGGCATTTTCAGATTAAACAAACCAGGTAACTTATATCTCCTGAAGGAACAACTAGTTAGATTCAACTGCAATATATATTCTTCTGCTTTTCAGAAAAAAAAACTATTGATAAGAAAGCTAATAATCCATATAAAATAGGTATGCAATCTGCCTTTCACAATTAATTGTTTGCTTCGTTATTGAAAAGTCCGACTATATCAGTTAATGATACAAACAGACTAAATTTGGAAAGCTTTCTTTTTCGATTACACTTAACTTATCAACACCTTAGAATTTAAATAGCTCAATTCTGATAGAATGTCATCACTTATACTGTAAATTTGGTAGTTTGAAGTTGAGAATGATAATTGAATCGGGATATACTAAATTTTAGCCATAGTCAAGAAAAATTCTTCGATTATGAAATGATCATGATAAAAATTCTCGCGCAAAAATTCAGAATCCATAGCTTGTATGAAATTCTAAACAGGAAACTGAAGAATTACAGCTGATTCACGATATTCGAGAGTCTCATTACATTGCTAAAGTATAAGCTTTTCTTAGGTTCTATCTTTTGCTGAATATCGTTAGCAGCTAATCAAGATATCTGATCTGATTTGCGAAACTGAAAAGAAGTACTCGATTAAAATATATCCTCTGAAAGAGAAGAAGAAAGTAGGGCTATACTTGGTGTTGTTGTAGTTGTAGCTGTTGCTGTAGTTGTAGCTGTTGCTGTAGTTGTATCTGTTGCTGTAGTTGTAGCTGTTGTTGTAGTTGTAGCTGTTGTTGTAGTTGTAGCTGTTGTTGTAGTTGTGGTTGTTGTTGTAGTTGTAGTGATTTCTGTAGTTAAAGCAAGTAGAACTAGTATTTTCAAAAAAACAAAATATGAATGGCTACCAATCGTTGTCGTTTGGCTAGTAGTCATTGTAATTGTTGTTGTCATGGTGTCAGTATTAGTCGTTGTTGTAATTGTTACAGTTGTTTCTGTTGTTACTGTCGTGTATGTTGATGTGATCGTTGTGCCCGTCATGGCCGACGCACTGGTTGTTGTCACTGAAAATATACTATTAATCATTTACACGTCCGAAAACGATATATATTTACATGGCATCGCAGTAGTCACTAAATTTTTAGCTAGACAAAATTGAACAGAGGTTAAACCTTAAAGGGTGTGGTTGTGGGTGTAGGTGATGTTTGTTTCGAACATAGAACTAACCACAGACATACTCATACTCCATACCCGCACCCTCATGGTTCAAGATGGATTTAAGAAGGAGGAATATTTTTCAAAAAATATTTCCCTCACAATGCTATACATACCGAGTAGGACGATTGCAGCCAACAATGAACTTAATAGGATAAGTGCTATTATACCAGTAGCCACAGAGAAGTAACAACAATATGGCCTTGTTAAAAATGCACCACAGCGTCTAAATATAATATATCTTTTATGGACCTAAGATTTTAGTTGAAGACGACTTACTTTCTACGATTTCTCCAAATATCTTTTTGTTTTCTTTCTCCTCGAGAACTTAAGACAGGTTGGTCGAGGGATTGCATTGAACTATATCCTTGTCGTCGATTTTCGCCTGGCTTGAAACTTCTCACTCTCTGGCGATCAGGTAGTTGATATTTCTTAGACGCTTCCGATTGATCAATGTTTTTCATTCGATCATTCGCTGTATTCAATTCATCTTGTACACTCCCCTTCTGAATTCATTAGTTTTCATTTTACGAGGGAATCCATCCAACTGATAAATTCTGTTTGAACTCATATTTTACCCATATCTAGGACTCACATTGTAGATAAAAACCCAAAAAGAGTTCTCACCATTAGGTCTTTCTTCTCGATTTATGGTCATTTTACAGAATTTTCACCCTATCGCAAGATATTATGAAAAAACATCAACAAGAAATTTCTGCCTGAAAATTTCCTCAATAATAGAATTCAAGGTCCTTATTATATCCTGACAGTTTCAGCTCAAACAAATGAGTTTTTCTTAACGATTAAATGTATCAAAAATGAACTATTTTTAGTGCTTTTGTAAATAGCGATTTTTTCCAAACGTATTATCTAGGGAGAGGACCACTAGTTTAAGCTGAAACTTTCAAGATATAATAAGGACCTTGAGCTTTATCATTGAGAAAATTTTCAGGCGGAAATTCTTTGTTGAGGTTTTTTTCATAATATCCTCCAATAGGATGAAAATTTAGTAAAATGATCATAACTCGAGAAGAAAGACCTAATGGCATGAATTCTTTTAGAGTTTTTATCTATAATGTGAGTCCTACCTATGGACAAAATATGAGTTCAAACGGAAGTTATCAGTTAAATAGGTTCCCTTATTAGATTACCAAAATGTGCATAATATTTTGTGAAACACGATGTAAAAGCAGTCCTGAAGTATACAGGATAGAAATTTGCACTTTCGACTTCCCCACTCCTCTTCATTGATAGACCTAGACAGATAACATATGGACCTGTCACAAGCCTCGCAGATACTATATTGTTAACGTCCCATTATAATCTACTAGATACCTTCTTATCACAACTTCAGAGAACTTCAGAAACAACAACGAAGAAATATGTCCTGAAATAGATCGAATGAAGCAATTTTAATGTAAATAGCGGTAATAGTTATATCGTGTTTGATATTTTAATTCCGCAGGTATGAATGTAATGAATATTACACGGTTTTGTGACACATTTTTTCTCAAGAATGCTCTGATTATATGTGATAGACCAGAATTTCGTTTAAGCTGCGTGTTTGTAGAGCAAACATTTTTTCTACGAAATGAAACATTGGCGAAGTTTGTCAGTGTTTGGTTCGATTTCTATTAGTTTTACGAAAAGTCCTAAAACCGATACCGAACCCAAGACTGAAAGTCTCAGTCCTGTTAAGGCCTTTAGTACAACTATAATAACAATTGAAACACATTTCGCACAGACTTCGTCAACTTTTCATTTATTAAATTCTGACTAATCGATTACTATTATCGGAATTTTAAAAAAAGGCTATCGGGCAAAATATTTATAACTTTTGAACGAAGATAGCTAGAGCCCTGCAGTTTTCACCATTCGAAAGAGGAGACAAGGGGACGCCTTTTCCTCCAACATTGTATAGGACGAAATCATTTAAAAATCAGTCATTTCTACAAAATATCGAAAAAATGTATAAAAAACGGCCTGTCATTCAGGTGAAATTCTGACGAAAGGAAAGAAAATACGCTTAAAAATTAAAAGAACTCTATAGTTTTCGTGCAATTGAATAGACAAGTTTATTTGTTCAACATTAGGAGGTGGAAAGATAATCTTTCGAATTATATCTTGAACTATACATCTCAAGTTCCTCTATCTAGATCAGATGTCAGAACCAAAATTTTATCGAAATGACAGATCGTTTTCATGCATTTTTTCGATGTCTTTTTAGAAATGACTAATTTTTAAATGATTTCGTCCTATACAATATTGGAGAAAAAGGCGTCCCCTTGTCTCCCCTTTTGAATGGTGAAAACCGCAGGGCTCTAACTATCTTCGTTCAAAAGTTATAAGCATTTTGCCCGATGGCCTTTTTTTAAAATTTCGATAATAGAAATATTTAAGATATAAAATTTAATCGAAATTGGATTAGCAACAAAACGTGTAAGACTGCAATACTTTTAGTCAAAAATTTTATCCTTCATATAATTCATCGCTAAATTGAAATTTTGACAGTGAAAGTTTAGCGATCTGATTTTTAACGATACAATGATTGGCCAATATCCATTGAATTTTCGATAATCTTTTTTATTGTAGAAATTCTCAAGGAAATCAGACACTTTCCTGGAAGTCTTGTATAAATTCAAAAATTGTCGAAATTTAGGTGATGAAGTTCCATTTGTACAAAAATTCACACAATCTAGCTGATCAAGATATGAGTTCAATAATGCTCCAACTCAATCAACTGTGTCCTTTGTGAGATACAGTACTGTGATCACGATTGCTTCCGTCGAATTCCTCATTTTTCATGACTACTTCTGATATATCAATGGACGATACAGGGTATAATATTCTTCAAAAAACTGTTCATCAAAATTTTCAAAACTCTTCTCTCTAGAATATGCTCGGAAGTGCAAAAATGTAGTGGCTTGAATTAAGTCAATTTTCTTTGTGGATAATCATGGCTAATGCAAAGCGATTCTTACTTGGCTCAGAGAATTATTTGTATTTTGGGAAAAGGATGGTACACTTGACAACGATGCAGGATTAGGAATAGTTTTTCTATCATCGCGAGATATGGATCGAGTTGTCTAAATAAACAATATCTCAATGTTTCTCTTCATAGAAAGTTCTCAAAGTTTTAAGTATGCATACGTGACTTGCGTCAGACGCGTTCTTCCTCGAAACACGGACAGAATCAGGAATTTTCGGCCATGTTTTTCTTGGTCTTCTAATCAAGCTTACACGTGGTTTGCTTATATGTTTTACCATTGTTCCACTTGTTAGTGATGTCATTTGATGGTTTAAGTTGAAATGTTGGCACTTTTATCTGAAATAGTAGTAAAGGGATGAGAAAAGTAATGAATATAATTTAAAAAATTCATCCGATCACTTCATTATATATAATATTTTAATAAAATGCCCGGTAGATCTTTGCTAATTAGAACGTGTGTATTTAACACAAATTCATTCCAAGAAAAATATTTTTTTTTATATGCATGTTGAAAACTACAAATGAAAGTTCGAACGTCGAATAGTATATATATATTTCACAATGTAGATTTAATTAAATAACTACGTAGACGAATTCAAACGAACCTTGCAACCTTTGAAATGCTATTTTTAATATGAATGTATAATGAATTCTAGAAGACGCTTATGCAGAAGAACAAGTTATTTTTTTTTCTTCATTTATTTGATTGTTTTGCATACATATATATACATAATAATGAATTTCAATTTGATCAAACTTTTATTTGATAGAAATAATAATGACGATATATTTATGCAATTTATTATTCTCCATTATAGATTCGGTTAGAATATGAAAACAAGTCTTCTAGCAAGGCATCAAGTGTATTTTTCGTTTCACATGCACAGAGAATAATGCCTTTGTCTCTTAGATTTTACAATTTTTCATGCTTTAGCTCAGGTTTATTACTCAAACTATGAATCAGTTAAGAAGAGATATGGCGTGTGCTAAAAATTATTGATAGATAATCGTGACAAAAATGTTGGTACGATATAACTATCCATCAGTTTCTTTTCTTTTCTTTTCTTTCCTTTTCTTTAGATGTATATATATGCATATATGTTATATATGCTGATGTATATACACGAATTTTATTATGTAAGAGATGAAAAAACAAGCATAACCTATAATATGTATAAGAAGAAGAAACAGAAGTAAAGCCAATTAAAGATCATAGAAGATGAAAGAGGATCGAGTACAACAAGAAGAGGCTGCAGGTGTCCGAGTAGAGAAGATTCACATCCGTATCTTATTTATATAAGTATTTGTGTATATAATCAAAATAAAGCTTAATTAACAAAGGACTCTACACTGCACTGCAACTTGACATGCTATTTCAAACAAAAAAAAATTAAATGTATAGAATGAGAATCTACAGAAAATCTTGATTGCACGATCAGAATAATATAAAAAAACAAATAAACAAAAAACTTTTCCAGCTTCTTATAAAAAAACAGCTTGTTTTTCAAACAGGTGATGGTAGTAATCATTGAAAATTTTGAAAAAAGAAAGTGTCCAATAAATAGTCATACCATTTATGAACGACTAAGCTTCGAACTATCTTTTCATCCGTTTAACCTAATTCCATTTTTTCATGAAAATTCACTTTTTTTTTTAGGGAGAAGCCATTAACTAGTGAAATAGTAGGCAACTAGGCAGTCATGAAGAAAAAAACATGCGACTTTCAATGATTCGTTTTGAAGTATGTTCATATTGAAACTATACTTGATCAATATTCAATCGCAATGACATTTTAAGTTATCTTTGCAATTTCTCTTATTCTCACAGTGAGATGAAA